CAGTGGGCACGCAATGCTTGTTGTTGACATGAATGGCCTAATTAACCGATATCTCTATGTGGGGGTGGTAGGGGCCCCCAGGATGCTTCTAGAGGATCCTGAGGATCTGGGAAGAAGACCAGGGAGGAGGACTCCAGGGGTCAATTATTGCCCAGCCCACTGGCTGCACATGACAGGTTGGCACCTGATACTTTTTTTAAAAATCCTCACTGAAAGATATGTTTACTAATTTTAAAGAGAGAGGAAGGAAAAGAAAGAGAGAGGAGGAAACACCGATGTGAGAGCGAAACATCGATCTGCTGCCTCCCATACATGCCCTGATAGGGGATCAAACCTGCATCCTAGGTGTGTGCCCTGATAGGGGAATCAAACCCACAGGTTTTTGGTGTACAAAGGGGACAACATTCCAGCCAACTTAGTCACCCGGCCACAGTGATTTTTTTTTTTTAATTGACTTTTAAAAACAGGAGGTTTGACCAATTTCCTCAAAGTTGCCTGGCTCCTCCCTGCCCAGCAGAGGATGAGGAGTAGAGGTCAGGGCAGTGGATCAGGAACTAAGAGGAACTGCCTCTGGCAGCTTTGTTGCCAGAGAGGATCGTAATCTTTCCTGGAGAGGCTGAGGAAATCCTTAATAGAGCCCTTGGTTTTCTGCCTGGGAGACAATATCCCGGGCAGGTTGAGGTGGGTGGGCTGGGGTTAATCCCAGGTGAGAGTGGGAAGGAGGTGGAGAGAGGAGTTAATCTCGGGAGCGGGTGGGGGTGGAGACTAAACTCTGGCTAGATCCCTGCCCTGGACCCAGCTGCTGCCCCTCCCCGCCTCCCTACCCAATCTCTCCCGGGGCTCCCCATTGTTAACCGAGACAACATCCTGTTTCCTTTACTTGCCTCACTGACTCAGGCTCGCAGAGACCCTCTGCTTACAGCGGGCAGGGATGGTTCAGGCTTTTGGGCCCAGGCCCAGGGTCCAAGGTTCTCACAGCTGGAAGACCCCTCAGCTGTGGAAGCTAAGCTGGAAGGGATGGTGTGTGACTTACCCAAGGTCATAGTAACTGCACATCTGGGTCAGCGCTTGGTCAGGCCTCCACGGTACCCTCAAAATTATACACGTTGGAGATTCCCAGGGGGAACCATCGAGGCTTGACTTCTCTTTGGCTCAGTGTGATCAGTTCCAAATGGCCCTCCGGCTGTACGTGGCCTGCAGGGCTCTCACATGTATCCTGGAAGTATGTTCAGATCAATGTAGTCCTGGGGCTTAGAGGCACAGGCTCTGGGGCAAGCAGGCCTGGGTTTGATCCTGTCACAGAATTTTCATTTATTTATTTTTCTACATCAAATGTTTATTGCCAAGCACTGGGTACACAGCAGCTAACAAAATGGATGTAAGTCCCTACTCTCATGGACTTTACATATTAGTGGGGGAGGCAGAAATCAGTAAAGGAAGGAAGTAAAGTAAAATATATAGCATTTCTGACAATAATTTGCTATGGAGACAAAGCAGAGGAAGGAATAGAGAGGAGGCAGCAGGAGATGAGGTGGAAAGAGTGTGCTTTTAAGTAGGATGGATGGATAACATTTGGGCCAAGACTTGAAGGAGATGAGAGATGGAGACTTGCGGATGCCTGGAGAAAGAGCCGTGCAGGCAGGAGCAACACTAGGTGCAGAGGCCCTGAAGCAGGAACATGCCTGACACAACTCAGGAGCTACAAGAAGGCCCGTGTGGCTGGAGCAGAGTGAGAGGCAGGAACTAGAAGTTGAATCAGTCAGACCAGGCCAGGGCCTTCAAAGTCATAATTCAAGCCTTTGGCTTTAACTCTGAGTGAATTGGAACCATTGGACTGTTTGGGATGGGCGTGGGGGAGGACAGACTGATTCATGTTTTATAAAGATCATTTTGGTACTGCGTGGAAAAGAAAAACAGGAACACCAGTTAGGAGGCGACTCTGATCATTCAGGCAAGAGGTAGTGCTCGGATGAGGGCAGTCATGACGGCATTGGTGAGAAATCGTGAAATTCTGAATACTTTGAAATTATACCGCTGAATGGTTAAAAAAACAAGATTCTTACGTGTGCTGTCTACAACAGACTCGCTTCAGATCAAAAGACATACAGACTGAAAGTACAGTGATGGAAAAAGATATTTCATCAAAATGGAAATAAAAAAAAAAAAAAAAAGCTCGGGTAGCAATACTTAAACCAGACAAAATAGATTTCAAAACAAAAGTTATAACAAAAGACAAAAAAAGACCCAGCAATTCTGATTTCATTTTCTTCTGGGCATTTGTCCAAAGAAAATGAAAATGAAAACATAATTTGAAAAGATATGTGCACCTACCTCTATGTTCATTGTAACAGTATTTATAATATCCACGATATGGAAGCAACCTAGGTGTTGACCAATAGTTAAACGGATAAAGATTATGTGATTTTATTTATATATATAGATTAAAAAAATAGAATATTACTCAGCCATAGAAAAGAATGAAATCTTGCCATTTGAGACAACACGGATGGATCTAGAGAGTATTATGCTCAGTGAAATAAATCAGAGAAAGACAAATACTTTATCATTTCACTTATGTATGGAATCTAAAAAACTAAACAAATAAACAAAACAGATTCATAGATACAGAGAACAAACTGATAGTTGCCAGAGAGTTGGGTGATGGGGAGACGATGTGCAAAAAGGTGAAGGGGATTAAGAGTTACAAACTTATAAATAAGTCACAGGGATGTAAAGTACAGCATTGGCAATACAGTCAATAATATCTCAATACCTTTGTATGGTGACAGATGGTTACCAGATCATCTGTTCTGTAAGGTATATAAATCACAAATTACTATGTTTACATATGAACTTATTATAATATTACATGTCAACTATACTTTAATAAAAAGAGCTTTATATTCCAGAATGAAAGAAAAAAGATAGAAAGTAGAGCCACCTGGATTTATGAACATGGGTAGTGAACTGTGATAGGAAAGGAAAAGTCAAGAACTTTGGCCGAAGTAACTAGAAAGGTACAGCTGCCACATATAGAGATGGGAAAGCCAAAACGGCGGGGTGGGGGGCAGGTTTGGGGGGGAGGGGATCAGGCCATCTATCTGCTGTGTGATTTTAGGTAAGTTGCTTAACCATTCTGAACCTCAGTGTCCTCGTCTGTACAATGGTTATAATAATCGCCTCCCTTTGCGGGGTGGTGGTGAGAATTGAGAGCAATCATTCACAAACTTGGTACATGTGTGCACCCAACACACATTCCACCCATGGCCTAAAGGATGGCACGTGGCCATCACAAATTTTCAGAAAGAAACTGGAAGGAGAGCAAGACAATGCCTAAAAATCTACATTCTGGCTCCTGCTTCCTCCAGGTGGAAGTGGAGCAGACCTTCCAGACGGTTAAGTTTTCTTTCTTCAAGGTCTTTGATGGTTTTGGAGATAACATGATGCAGGCTGGTGGTGAAATAATGATAAACGGTCATATTCCCAAGGCTGAGCTGAAGTTTATAAAATATTTTCATGATCATTATCTCATCTGAGTCCAGCAAGGCAGAAATTATATTCATTTTATAAAGCAAGAGAATGAAGTATTTAAAAACAAAACAAACCCAGGCTATCTCTATATCTTGCTACCTCATGGCATTTCATTTACTCTCAGGGGAAAAAGTAGGTGGAGAAGAGGGTTCTGAAGTAGGCATTCCTCTTCCTGTCCCTCAGTGGCAGTTGCCGCTCAGCTCTGCCCAACTTGGCCCAGTTGGGAGATGGACTGTGACCCCACTCCTCTCCCCCAGGGGAGGGCTCACAAACGTCTGCCCCGGGCCTGTCCTGCCTGTCTCCGCCACTCTGAGCGTGCCCGGTGTGCCCGGGCTGCCGTCTTACTGCTTCTGAGGTTTGAGCAAACGTGTCTCATACACAGTCCCATTCCAGTTACTCCTCCCAGCTACCCCCAGATACTGAGGTATCTGAAGAGGGGACTGGAGCTCTGAAGAATGAAGAATCAACATGCACACAGTCACGTCATTAGAAAGTGCAGTCTGGCCCTGACCAGGTAATTCAGTTGGTTAGAGCGTCATCCTGATACACCAAGGTTGTGGGTTTGATCCCCAGTCAGGGCATATGCATAAATAAATGGAACAACAAATCAATGTTTATCTCTCTATTCCTCTCTCTCTCTGTGCACCAAAGAATTTAAAAAATTAAAAGAAAAAAAAAAAAAAGAACTGGGAGGAGGAAAACAAAAGGCATGAGATCACATTTAAAGTGCAATCCGCGTTCCAACTCTGAGGCCTGAACCCAGCAGGGAGAATTCCTGCATCTGTTCCATCCACTACTGGCAGCTCAGCTGTCTCCTCCCCTCCAGATACCAAGTGCCAGCATACAGCTGTCTCTTCCCTTGCTCCGACACCCTGACAAGCTTCCAAGGTGGGGCCGAGATGGGTGGGGCAGTCCTGTGTAGTGAGTGTCCCCTGAGGCTGTGTCCCCACAAGCCAATTCGGGCAGAGGTTGCTTCTGAGCAGTGGTTCTGACTGGTGAGAGTTGCTGCCCATGGGGCGGAGGGTTGGAAGGGTAAGAAGTGTCTGCTCAGGGCGGATGAAGGGCCCCCCCAACAAAAAAAAGAAAGTTTAGAATTGCCCGGGGAAGAGCTCCTCCAGGATTGAGGAAGGAGGGATGGAGAATGTCGGGGGAGTGCGTGCAACAGAAGGGCGTGACTAGAGGCGGGGAGGGTATATGGACAGCAGGAGCCCCTGGAGCCTGGGAGTGGCAGGCTGAGGCCCTAGTCCCAGCTTCACTCCACCAGGAGAACCTGTTCCAGCTACTTACTTTGCCAAGAGAAAGGGCTTCGGGAGAGCAAGAGTGATCCACAAACTGAGGTCTGGGGAACGTAATGGTGGAAACCGAGGGGGTGGGAATTCTGCTCAAAACCCCATGTCTTTGGCAGGTGAGCAGGGAGCAGGAAAGGCAAGCCTAGACCCTGGATCGCTTTTGAAGTCACTGACCTAGCCATGCCTGTGCCTCTGCTCCCGCTGCTGCTTCGAACGCTGCTGTCTCGACTGCTGCTGCCTGCAGCCCGCCTGGCCCGCCAGCACCTCCTGCCCCTGCTGCGTCAACTGGCCCGCCGCCTGGGCTCCCAGGACATGCGAGAGGCTCTGCTGAGCTGCCTGTTGTTCGTCCTCAGCCAGAGACACCCGCCAGATGCTGGGGAGGCTTCCAGCGCGGCCAAGCCTGAGAGGAGGGAGAGGCTAGCCCCACAAAAATAAGGCCACTAGTGCTGGCAGTAGCAGGGCCCAAACGCTTCCTTTTGGAGTTGGAGTAAGACAGTCCTGGCAACATCACTGGCCGAAGCCTGCCCAGTGGGTATTAGATGTGGTTCGGGACTGAGCACGAGTGGGGCCTGAACGAGACATGCCCCCCGGCTCCAGCAGAAGTGACTGGAACTATGCAGAAAGCTGATCTTTACCTGTCCTCTGCATTCCTCAAGGCCTTTCCTAATCACCTGGGGCTTCAGCAGGGAAAGGAACTGGCTCTCCCCTTTCTCCCTATCCCCAGACAAATGGGGACACAAGGTCCCATCGGGGGACAATGCTTACCCGAGGGACAACTGACAATTTAGTGGAGAGGCAAGATTTTAATCCAGACTGTTTTCCAGACTCAGGATTTACCTTAAAAGAACAAGACAGTGATTCCCCCAGAGAATCAGTCCTGCCCCCAAAGCCCAGCATGCAGCAGGTGCTCAATAAATATTTTTGAATTCCTGGAATGCCTTTGAAATTCTTGTCACTCACACTCCTGCCTGCACTGCAAGACAGTCTCACCTGGCCAGTGGGTAAGGGCAGGGAACAACTAAGGCTTCCCCTGATCCCTATTCCATCGTCCCTGTCAGGGCTCACCTCCAGGAAGCTGTTTCTGTCATCTCACTGCAGTCAGCCACACTCTGACCCAGCAGTCGTGAGCCTCTCTTGGAGAGCGTTTGGTTATCCCGCGCACGGTAAGGAGGAAAAGGTCCCTGAGAGCGTCTGCAGACTCTTCTCAGCAAGTGGTGGTGGGGAGAGGGAGATTTGATAGCTAAGGGACCCTGCGGGCAGCCCCTCAGGGAGCAGTGCGGAAATGCATGCTCCTGCAGAGATGGTGTGTGTTGGGGGGTAACCTGAGGAATCCACCTCCTCATTTCCTTCTCAATGATGTATTTGCATTTCAGCCTCCGGATAGTTTGCTTAGGGCTCCCCTGCAACAGTCCTCCCTCCCTCTTTCTACCAGCTCTAGGGTCAGAGGGGGGATAGTGAGGAATATAGGAATCTTAAGGGACCATCCTCCCCCCAATCCCGTTCCCACGCCGGTCAGAAGCTGGGGCCGGGGGACGATCTGAGACCAGAGCTGTGCGGCCCCATCCCAGCCCTGTAGGGATTTCCGCCAGACGCCGGCCTCCCCACCGCTCGGCCAACACCTTCCCCCTGGAGTCCTCAAAAGCCAGTGTACGTGCTCGCCCCTCTCGAGAAAGTGGCCTGGGGGAAGGAGCGGAGTGAAGGGGGTGAGAGCCCCTGGTCCCCTGACACCGTTCCCCTCAGGGGTCATGGGCGCCTCCCCCTCCCCCCTGCCACCTCCCTGCTCCAGGCCTTCCTCCCGGTTACCCTCCCTTTCTGCTGGTCTCCCTGGCCTCAGGCTGCCCCGAGGTTCTCCCAGCTCCCGAGCAGCGCCGGGCAGGACAGAGCCGGCCGCGGAGCGGGGCGGCGGGCGCCGGCTCGCGGGTTGCAACCCCTCTCCTGCCAGGCGGCAGAGACGGGTCAGACCCGGTCTGGGCTCCTTTCACCGGCTACCGCCCCAACCCCGAGGTGAGGGTGCCAGGAGGGCGACTAGGGCCCCACCGGCCAGAGAATTGCCGTCCCCCATCCCCAGCTCAGGATGCCGCTCCAAGGTCTCCGCAGGGTGCGGTGAGCAGAGGCGCGGCCGCACGGTGGGGTGGGGCGGGGTCTGAGCGGTCCTCCAGACGCCTAGCGAGGAGGAGAGGTGCGGGTAAGGCCCTGGTTGGAGCGGGGATATCAGTGGAGTCGGGTCTACGGTTTCTGGTGGAGGGGATATTGTCTGGGACTTGGAAGGCGGCAGTTAGATGCCTGCCCCCTAACCCCAAGCCCAAACACGTAGAGATCACGCCAAGTCACAGACCCACCAAGAGCAGAGGGAAGGGGCAAGGTCTGAGAAATTAGGCTGGAAGGGCAAGCCCAGACCTAGTGAACAAAGAGCCCCTATCCACTCTCAAGGAAGGGGAGGTGAGCCTGACCCTGAGAGAACCAGATTCTGTCTCTATTTTCAATGTTGACGTTTTGTTAATGGATTTTTCTTTTACATTAACCTTAACTTTAAAAAATATTGCATTAAAATATTATTCATCTTGATTCCTGAATTTTTTGGTATTCCCTTAAATTTTGTGACTCAGTCAAGTGCCCCGTTGGCCTTGCGCTAGTCCCAGCCCTGCAACAAGGCCCTTGAGATATAGTCACAGACAGAAACTGGAAACGCGCGCAGTCATGAGGCATGCCCTGGTAACAAAACAAATGCCGGGGTGAGCAAACACACTTCCAGCAAACAGATGGACACAAAGTTGGGGGAAGATAGGACTGTGTGAGGGATCAGAGGGGCCTGGATGGGGGAGGAGAGAGTCTGGGGCAAGTCACAGTGCTAAACAGGGTAGGAGTGGGGAACTTGTCCAGCCTTTCCCACCCCGCTCCTAGGCCAAGGACCTGAGGGAGCCCAGGGAGGGAGAGAGCCGTGAGATGGGCAGAAGGTGACCAGGACTACCTTGGCCTGGAGAGAAAAACTCTAAGCACAGGCCAGGGTGAGCTGGGCTCAGCTGAGGGTGTCCGACAGAAGGCCCTGGCATCCAGCAATCATCTCCACCCACGGAGGCGGCTCTGGAGGGGTGTGAGTGCTGGCTGGGGGCCCAGGCAGGGTGTGTGCCATATGGGCTTCTGTCCAGCAGTAGCAGACCTGGTTGTTGCCATCTAGGGAGCAGGCCAGGCTTCAGTGGGGGTGGACGGAGGAGCCGGCCTTCCCCCGTCTGGCCTAGGACCCTCACCACTTCCCTCCAATTTCTTTCCACTTCCAGCCCCCGTTACACACACTGCAGCATTGGCCACCAGCCTAACCATGCCTGGCGGATCTGTCTGACCACGAAGGCTTGCCACCCCCGCAGGCCCAGAGCTGGGCAATAAAGGTGTGGAGAGAGACAGGGGCCCAGAAAGGGGAGAGGAGAGCCAGGAGAGGAAGAGAGAGAGACTGGACAAACACAGGATAGGGATGGGGAGGGAGACCCAGACATGAAGCTGCCCTTAAGCCATGGTGCAGTGCCTAGAAAAATACCATTGATACCCCTCTTCCTGCCCTCTGCTTGTTTAAGGCTGGAGGGGGGTGGTGTGTCATGGCTCTGTGGGACAAGGAGCTGGAAGTCTGGGAACACCCTTTCTGCAGTAGCTTGGGGAGTGTCCACTGATCCTAAGTAGAAAAGCTACCCCTCACCTCAGGTTTCGGTCTGATCTCTGGAGAGATGGTGTGATTCTGCCTTATCCCTAGGATGTGAGTGAGACATGATAGTGAGAAGCTAAGAAAACTCCTTGGCAAGTAGACTAGGGAAAGAGACAAATAGCTGAGCACAATGGCTTAGCAATTTACAGCCAAGTGCAGACTGTCACCAGGGCAGAAGGCCCCAAGTGCCTTGCAGGGGGCAAAACTGGGAAAACAAGAACCTCAGCCTCCAGGTAACCTTTCCTCCCTGGAAATAACATCTAGGCCTCAGTTATGTTTCAGTTCCAGGCCCAGAAAAGCAGCACAACCAGGTGGGTGTTGCCAGAACCAACTGCAATGATTAAAGCCCCCTTGCCCTCACTGACCAATCAGTGGAAACATGACCCTGAAACGGCCCACCTGGAGACCCTGATGAATATTCTGCTGAAACCCTCCCCTGAGACCTCCCCTGAGATTCCTGCCTGCAAGAGAGTGGCAAAGGTCTCCAAACAAAAGCCCCAGCCCTTACTCTGCTTCTGGGGAGCAGCCTGCACCATTTCTTTTTCCTTTGTCCCCGCCCCCTTCTTTCTTCATAGTCATGGGGCTCTTAAACTCTAGGAGGGATGTCCAGACTGTGGCCCACGGACCGCATGCAGCTCAGGATGGCTGTGAATGTGGCCCAAAACAAAATTGAAAATTTACTTAAAACACTATGAGATTGTTTTGTGATTATGTGTCCTGATGTATTTAAAGTGTGGCCCAAGAAAACTCTTCTTCCAGTGCGGCCCAGAGACGCCAAAAGGTTGGACACCCCTGCAAAAAATGGTCAGTGGAAGTTTGTCCCAGGATTATCCCCTGAACATGTCCCGAAGGCCCCCTTTTCTCTGATTTCCCAGTGAGCTAAGGGAGCCCAGCCTAGGCTCTCCTGTTGCTTTTCCTATGCTAAGACTTACCTTTATTGTTTCACTACCCCCAGCTTTAATAAATATATCCTCCATAATCACTTGGACTCACATGGTGAAACATTTCTTACATGAAGTCAAGAACCCACACACTACAGCTGGCCCGAGGCAGACCCACTCGGCCAGCTCCCTCCTCGGGTAACATATTCCTAATTGTTAATTAGTGTCTGTGGCTTCTCCAGGGGACAGGCCTCTTGGGTAGTGGGGATGAGGTAGAGGCTGGAATGGATTTTCTCTCCTCAGTACCTCTCTAACCTTCGGATTGTCTTCCAGCACTGAGAGCTGCTGTAGGGGCAGTGATTCCCCCACCCCGAAATTTACTAACAAAAAAGAGGAGTGAATCCCTTCCTTCCCTTGAAGGTACGAGGACTTCTCAGCATGCCCACCCCCCTCTTCCTGGGGCAGTGGAGGATGCGGGGTTCAGTGAGCTTCCGTTCTGGCTTCTGAGTATCAGGACAATAGGATTCACTCAGGATGTAAGGCTGTTCCCAGCTTTTTTCTTCCCATCCCTGCTGTGCCTCAGTCTTTCCAAAGTTCTGAATTTAGAAAAGGGTGAATCATGGGGGAACAACAGGGCCGTGCCTCTACCACCGACCCCCACACAAAACCACACATCCTCCAAGTCAACAGTTGTGGGTGGCCATGTTAGGGTGGGTGGGTGGGTGGGTATGTGCTCTGAGTGTGTTAGAGGTGGGAAAATCCACCTTGCAGGTCACTGGTTACCTCGGAGGGATCCCAAGGCGTGGTGGGGTCGAGGGCTGGAGAGCGAATATCAAGACAGGTCTGAAGGCAAGAAAGTGGCACTGAAAAGGGCGGGGCGGGTGGGGGGAGGGGGGAATCGCTGTTAAGGAAAAAGGTGCGCTGTACAAGAAAGTGGCATGGGATGGGGTTTGGGGAGTGATAATGGAGCATCTGAGATAGAGTAGAGACATACATGGAGACGCCGGGGCCTGCCTGGCAAGTTTATCGCTGGGAGAACCCTGAGGTGAGTTCTGTAGCATTTTTGTAGCCCCGGCACGAAGAAGACTAGGGGTACCCGCGTGGGGCTGTACCGTCCAACGCCGTGTGCTCCTTAGTGGGGCAGGTTTTGGTGGAGCAGAGTTTGGTGCGAAATTACAAAGCGTGTCTGAGCCGGGCGGCCCTGGCGATGCACAGGGTCCCGGGATAGGGGCCCCTTCGGGGCCGCAGGGCGGGAGCCGCTGCAGGGGCGGTCCGGGGCGTGGCCCCGACTGCCACGCGAGAGGAGGCGGGGACGACCTGCCCGGGAGGCACCGCTGTCGGCGCGGGAAGCGGGGAGATTAGCGCGCGAATCTCAGCGCGGGAGGACTCCTTCACAGTAGGTGTTGCCCGGGGTCGGGAGTCCAGGGGTCCAGGGGTCCAGGGACCAACGGGGCGGAAGGCACTGCTTTCCGCGTTCCAGGAGGGCAGGGAAGCGGGGCCTGGCAGCTGGCGGAGAGACGCGGGGCGGGGCCCCAGGTGCGGAGTGTGCAGAGCAGTGCAGCACGTGCCTGACGTGCTGGGGGGCAAGAAAAAAGGTGCGGTGTGGAAGAAAGGAGCGTGGGAGGGGGGCCCGAACCAGGCGGGAAGACCCGGCTTCTGGGCCTGAAACCGGCTATCGCGGAGCTGACCTCTGTAAAGGGCGGCAGAGCAGATGGTTAATCTCGGTACAGAGGAGGCCGCGCCGGTAACTACGGTGGGTGAGGGGAATGGGGCTGCGAGCACCCGGAAGGGAGGAGCCAGGTCTTTAACCCCCGATTTTAATTGGCCGAACTCGTGTCCCTAGCCTCCCCTGTCTGTGTGCGTCCTCGTCACACCCAGAAAGAGGACCCTTCACTCAAAGAAAGGGCGAGGACACACGCCTTTCAGGTTTTCTTCCCAGGCGAGAGCAGTGGTGGGCGAGGGTCCCTCCCTGCCCCTCACGTCTCTTGGGGTGGCCCCTCTGCCCATTTCTCTGGTAACCCTTATAACCTCCCACTTGTCCTCCTGCCGAGTGATCTTTTCTTGCCAGGATGTGTGTATAATGTGGGGGGCGGGGGGCGCTTACACCCGACACTCATGTCAGGCTGGAGGTGACCTTGGCCCCCACATTGTTTTTCCCCTTTAGCTCGAGTAGAGCACCCCCACCTCCCAGTATATAGAACCAGCTGAGAAGCAGCCTTCATACCTCCCTCTCTACCCCAGAATAAGCCTAGAATAAGCTGCATGTTGAGTTTGAATTGCAGCTCAGAGAACCTTGGTTGGCCCCATCTGTTCAATGGAGACAATTTAGAGCTAGTTATGTGTGGTTATGAGGGAAAGAAGGGGTATTTGCAGGCCGGCCCCTTATGGGATCCTGGGGAATGGAGAATTTGACACTACTGCAAGGGTGTGCCCAGATGCTGGGGTGCATGAAACGTGTTGGGAGCCTGAGTTTGGTGCCTTCTTTCAGGGCCCCATCCAGGCAGGCCAGGGCATGGCTGGAGGTACACCAGATGCTCTGGGCTGGTAGTTTGCAGCTAGGCAAAGGAAGACAGCCCTGGCTGTCAATAGCCCTGGCTGGTGTGGCTCAGTGTGTTGAGCACGGGCCCACAAACCAAAAGGCCACCAGTTCAATTTGGGGTCCATGACGAGGTTACAGGCCAGGTCCTGGGTTGGAGGCATGAGAGAGGCAGCTGATAGATGTTTCTCTCCCTCTCTTTCTGCCTCCCTTCCCCTGTCTCTAAAAACAAACAAAATATTTTTTTAAAAAATAGGAAGAGAAAAATAAAACACCTGGACCAGCCTGCTGAGTGTTAGGATGTGGGCAGGGAAGGGGGCTGCCCCTGGAGTTGAATTGTGCCCAGGGCTGAGGTGGGTTTGCCGAGAACAGAAAGAAGGGTGTTGATGAGGGAAAAGGCAGAAATTTATACTTCTCTGAGCTTCAGGCAGATTTCACCAAGAAAGGGACAGTACCTCGGCAAGTATGTGTTGAAAGGGTGAACGAAATAAGCCCTCTACGTGCAGCTGGAGATGTGCGGGTCTGCGCCCCCTCCCCCAACACACACAACCCAGGTACGGGCTAGGGATCTGAGGAAGGCTTCGGAGAGTCTGGGGTGGCCCGGGGGGCAGTTGAGAGGACTGGGACTGCTAGAAAAGCCCATTGATGGTACAGGGTCCAGGTGGACTGCGACCTGGAGCACTGGACGTACTCCCGTTGACCTGCCCCCACACTTGCTGTGACTGTTAGAGCTCTTATCTCCAAAGCTGCAATGGTGGTTTTTTTTAATCTCCCTGGTTTAGGACAGTTGGAAGCTTCTCAGAATGGGGTAGCTTCCTCCCACAACAAGGCCTGCGGGTTTCTCTCCCCATATATTCTGTGCCACTGTCTTCATTCTGGACCCTTACTAGGGGAAGCCCATGGACGAGGCCAGCTGCCTGAGCTGGAGCTAGGACCACCTTCCAGGGACTGCCCGGGACTCCTCTGCTCTGACTCTTCTGCTGGCAAGTCGGGGCACCCGGTGAGTGCTGGCCCAGGTGGGCTGTGGGGGAAGCCAGTCCTGTGTCCGGAGCAAGGCCCTCACTTCAGGGATGCACCAGCACACGCCTGCCTGGCTTTCCAATGCCATCCAAAGGGAAAGCTGTTTTCTCTGCTGGTGCCAAAAAAGTCCTAGCTACAGAAATAACACAAGGGAGGGAGCAGGAGAGGGACGCTGAAGCGGGAAACCAGGAGATTTGTGACCATGCAGTTAGTTAGGCCTGTGTCCACACCCCACCCCCAATCTTCCCCTTAAGTTTGCTCTCAGAAAGGGGAAGAGTACAGAGGCCTGGGAATGAGAGAGGAACCAAGGGGGGATGGGGGGCAGGAAGAGTCTGGGACAGGGGTCGAGGGAGAGATAAGGCTAGGTTGTGGAAAAGGCTGTGGCCCATGCCCAACGAAAAGTGTTTTCCTGGAAAAGTGACCAGGAACTGGGAAGTCCCTGGGCAGTGGCTGGAAGGGAAGGTTAAGGTGCCACCAGCAGAGAGGCTGGAGTCTGGGGTACCTCCAGGAGAGGACAAGTTCTCAAGAGCCCACCCTAGCCGTGAGTCCAGGGGCTCCCCAGGAGGCTGGAGAGGTCAGACTTAACAGAGAGGGCCTGGAGCGGGAGGCCTCTCGGGCTTGGCCGCAGTCATCACCCCTGTGGCTACTGATCCTGCAGATGTTTGTTTTGTGCCCTCCCTCCTGCTGTCTACTGTGTCTCTTTTTCTGCTTCCCTCCTCCTGTCCCTCCTATTGTCATCACTGTCCCTAACCCCTCTCATCCTCTTCCCTGCCTTTGCCTGTCTTTCCCTCCCTCTCAATAAGACGCCCCTCCCTTTCCCTCCTGCTCTCCACCCCCCACCCCCGCCCCTTGGTTTCCCAGCTTACAAACGGCTTCGCTGCCGGGTAAAAATAGCAGTGGCAGCGGCCAGGCCAGGCCTGCTGCCAGGTAGAGCTCGAGCAGGCAGGGGGGCCCAACAGGACTGGTCAGAGGGGTCAGATTGAGCAGTCCTGAGAGGCAAGGCCAGGAGAGTGTCCTGCTGGACTCTAGTGCTTGCCAGCTGTTTGCCCTGCTCCCTCCCACCCACTAAGAGTCTAAGGCCTGTGGGGAAACAGGAGGAGACAAGGCCTCACACTGCTTCTGCCCCCAGCGAGCCTCAGAGGAAGACAGCTGTCAGCCAGGCAAAACCGAGACTGCCGTCACCATGACAACCAGTCAGCAGCCTCAGGACAGGTACTGGGAGACCTGGGCTGGGGACCCAGGGCAGTGGAAATGGGTCTGCAGGGGGCTGGGTGCCATGTGCTTCGAAATTTGGAGTTGTTGCTTACTGGCCTTTCAGCCAGTTAGCCATGAGTCAGAGCTGCATGTGGGGGAGGCTGCGCTTGCCCTGGGGGTGTGGACTGGGGTGTCTGTGTGGAGGGCCAGGGTGGGTGGATGGCAGCCCCTCCCTGGTCCATCAGTTTTTCCACTGTTGCTCGCCAGCGGCAGCTGGCTCCTCCCACCACCACCATGGGGAGGTATTTGGCAACACCTCTCATTCCAGAGCACATCTGGCAGAACTTCCCCTCCCTCAGCTCATGTTTCTCATGACCTTGGCTCCCCCTGGTCTATGCCGAGACCTTCCTCTCAGTTCTGCACCTCTGGAGCCTGTGAATTCCCTCAAGTTAGACCTGCACATGTGATCATATGTGTTTTCAGAGAAGAGGCTGTAGCTTGACTCAAGTTCTCCAAGGCATCTAGGACCCAAGGAAGTTGATAAAGTCATGCCTCAGGTCCAAAGTTCCTCAACCCATCACCTCTTTCAGCCCATTCTGTCTCCTTCCTATGCCAAAGGCCATAGAACTAGACCACTTCTGGCTGTGGGACCCTGGGCACCTAGCTTGATCTCTCTAGGACCATTTCCCATCTGTAAAATAAAGGTGAGGTTTATTTCAACGGGACAGAATTTAAGGAGACACTAAGTATAGGCCCCTCGCTCCCTTGTCCCTGCTCCTGGGCTGCCTACCTGCCCCTTCCCAGCCTCACCAACTCCTAGCAGTTCTGTGAACCCCACTCCATCTCCTTCCCCTCTTGCACTCATCCAGACCATTCCGACCCTCTGTCATGTGTGACTTTGGGAGTTTCTCCCTTCCTCCTGGGTCTCTGAACCCAGCCTTTAACTATTTCAAGGTGGGTATATGAGGGAGTTGGGAGGCGGCAGCTGTAATGACTCAGACCTGCCTGGTTGGGGCGCTCACCCAGGCCCTCCCTGCGTAAGGCCGGCCCCGCGCTCTGACCAGAGCTGTCCTCACTGCCTTGGGCTTTGTCTCTGCCATCTCTGTGAAGAAAGCAGATGTTGGCTGTGGGGAAAGTATGGCAGACACATCTGGAGACTATAGTGGGGAGGCCTGGGGCTGCCTGGCGGAAGCTGGCCCGTCCCAGACAGGCCCTGAGATGTAGGGCTTGGGGCTGTGCCCTGGCAAAAGTTAGGCTTGCACTTATTTATACTCTGGGGCCCAGATGACCTCCAGTGGCCGGATACCCCCAGGCTTATCCTAGGTGGTATGACCTACAAAGCTGGTTCTGTCTGGGCCAGGAAAAAACAACTCCTTCATTTCCCAGCTGCCCCCAGGGCACCCCGCCTGCCTGCGCCACTAGGTCCAGAATGGTCTGGGACTTTCTTGACCTAAGAATCCTCTTTGGGGAGCCACACAGTCCCTGCCCAGACTACATAATCACTTCCAGTCTGCCTGGCAGGCAGGGGTGGAAGACACTTGCTGTTTGCTTTCTCCCTCTCCCTCCACCCCCAGCCATTATAGCAGAAGTTCCAAAACCACCTCCGGATGTGTGGGTCACATTGGTTACTAAGCCTTCAGGGTTGCCTAAGTCTTTAGGGGCTAAGAACCACAGTCCTGTGGCCATGCCCTCCCTCTGTGGACTCAGTTGGGCCCTTGTCCCTATTCCAGGACACCTCCCCCTCCACATACACTCATAGGAGGACCCAGGCACATGGACACAAACACATATGCCCTGTGCCCTGGGATAGCTGGAGAGACAGATGGTCACAGAGGGACGGGCTTCCCCAGGTTTGATCTGGAAAGGAAGATTGGACGATGGGTCACTTGGCTCCTTTTTCCACTCCCATCCCCAGGTACAAAGCTGTCTGGCTTATCTTCTTCATGCTGGGTCTGGGGACCCTGCTCCCCTGGAATTTTTTCATGACAGCCACTCAGGTGAGACTGGGGGACTGGGCTCCAAGGGTTATGTGCACTGGGCATGTAGGGCCTGGATCTGTATACATTGGCACAGGGAGAGAGGTTCCAACACTGCTCTGCATCCCCCGCAGTATTTCACAAACCGCCTGGACCAGTCCCAGAACGTGTCCTCGGTCACGGCTGAACTGGGTGGGGACGTCCAGCTGTTGGCCACCCCCATAGCGCCCCCGCCAGAGCGGAATTCTCTGAGTGCCATCTTCAACAATGTCATGACCTTGTGTGCCATGCTGCCCCTACTGCTCTTTACCTGCCTCAACTCCTTCTTGCATCAGAGGTGAGTGCCCAGGCCCAGCCTGACCCCTGGCTGCCTCCTGTGCACCCTGGACTGAGCCCCGGCCTTCACCTTGCCTCTCTGCCACCTCGGCTCTCCCCCAGGATCCCCCAGGCTGTCAGGATCCTGGGCAGCCTGGTGGCCATCCTGCTGGTGTTCCTGGTCACTGCCGTCCTGGTGAAGGTGCACCTGGATGACCTGTCCTTTTTCGTCATCACCATGATCAAGATCATGCTCATTAATTGTAAGCAGAGCTGGGAGGGGTCCTGGGGCCAAGACCTTCCCACTTACCCCCATCCTTCCTTTAGACCCGCCATCAGCCAGAGAGGAGCCCATTCAGACACCCAGAGAAAATAGATGCCATGGGCTCAGAGGCCTGAGCAGGAAGGGAACCAGGGTAGGGAGTTCGGGACAGAGAGAAGGGCCGCTCAGCAGCACAACCGACTGGCAGTAAAGCAGGAGTTACGGGAACCTGTTGTGCCGTGAGCCCCAGCTGCCCCCATTGGAAGTGAATCCCTCCCTGCCCATACCCCTTGCTGATGCCCACCGTGTTCCCCCAGCATTTGGTGCCATCCTGCAGGGCAGCCTGTTTGGTCTGGCTGGTCTCCTGCCTGCCAGCTACACGGCCCCCATCATGAGTGGCCAGGGCCTGGCAGGCATCTTCGCATCAGTGGCCATGATCTGCGCCATCGCCAGTAAGTCCTGCTCTCTATCTGCCTGTCTGGTTTTTGTGGGGCAGGGGGAATAGAGCCTGTCTCACTGCTGACACCCTCCACCCTAGGTGGCTCAGAGCTGTCAGAAAGTGCCTTTGGCTATTTTATCACAGCCTGTGGGGTCATCGTTTTGACCATCGTTTGTTACCTGGGACTGCCCCGGCTGGTGAGCAAAAGGAGAAAGCGGGGTTTTTGGGGCCTGGGGAGTCCAGGACTCCAGACCATGGATGTCCTGATGCTGAAAACCTGGGGGAGGCAGGGATTTGGTAGATCTTGCCTCTGAGTCCACCTCCCGCTCCTTCTCTTGATAGGAATTCTACCGCTACTACCAGCAGCTCAAGCTTGAAGGGTCCGGGGAGCAGGAGACCAAGTTGGACCTCATTAGTAAAGGTCTGGGTAGCCTGAGGAAGCGCAGGTGGAGGACAGCCTCCTGGGCAAGGGGGCAGCTGAGCACAGGGGGCAGGAATGGGTACACTGTATTTATTGGCAGAGATGAGCCAGGGGCTAGAGGGACCAGGGGTGGGGTCAGGGGGATGGTAGGAAATAAGAGCTGGAAAACTAAAATGGGGGGAGATCCTGGATGACCTTGAATGCCTGAGGACAGTGGATTCTTGGATAGGGTGTAACATGAGTTGAGGCTCCTGGGAGAGGTCAGGACACAGGGACTGGCACTGTGAGGATTTAGAGGAGGTCTGGGCTAGATGTTAGGGTGCTTCTGTTCACTGTGTAAGGGGGTGTCCCCAACTAACCCCAGCCCTTTTGGGGAATGGTTGTGTCATTTCCTGTTGCTCTCTCCTTCCAAAACTTGAAGATCCTTCCACAACCTGTCACCCCCCAGGAGAGGAGCCAAGAGCAGGCAAAGAGGAGTCTGGAGTTTCGGCCCCCAACTCTCAGCCCGCCAGCAAAAGCCACTCAATCCGAGCCATCCTCAAAAATGTGCGTGGGACATGGGTGCCTTCCCTTTACCCCTCACCCTCTTTCCTCATTCCCCACCCCCACCCACCCACCCACCTCCACATGGCCCATTCCATCCTTTTCTGACTGAGAATGGCCACTCCTGGATTATTCGTGCGCGTGCGTGCGTGCGTGTGCGTGCGTGCGTGCGTGCGCGCGTTTGTGTGTTGATTGGTTCTTCAGTGCACGGCCATCATGGAGACTCGGGCCTGGGTCCCTTTCCTCCAGATTATAGTCCCGGCTCTCTCTGTCTGCTTCATCTTCACGATCACCATTGGGGTGTTTCCCGCCGTTACTGCTGAGGTCAAGTCCAGCATTGCAGGCGGTAGCGCCTGGGGTGAGGATACCATGGGTTCCCAGTAGGGGGATGGACGGGCTCTAGCAGGACTGGGAGTGGGGGAGAGGAGACCCTGGACTGCCATCTCCCCAGCTAGACTCTGCTGGTCCACTTGCCCTTCCCTGGGCGAAGGGCATCTCTCCACTTTACAGCTGGGGACACTCAGCCCCGTTGAGGGTCAAGGTTGCTAAATCTGCCTATGGACCTAATAACATTACTCTAATGTTCTATTCCTTTTCCAGAATACTACTTCATTCCTGTGTCCTGTTTCTTGACTTTCAATGTCTTCGACTGGCTGGGCCGAAGCCTCACAGCCATATCCATGTGGGTAAGTGAAAGAAGAGGGCATCAAGTCCCCGTGAGGGGGCAGAGTCCACCCTGAGACCCAGAAAGGGCACTAAGAAAGTATGGTGACAAGGGGACCGTGCTCTTTCAAAAACCAAGACATTATGCATAGTTAGGTATACAAGGCCTAAGTGTACCACTTAGTGACTATATACACATCCCCTGTATAATCACCGACCAGGTCGAGATGGAGAACATTTCCAGCATTCCAGAAGTTTCCACTCTGCCCTCTCCCCATCAGTACCCATAAGGGCAACCAGGTTTTGAGGTTTCCATGCAGATCCTGAAGGGCTCCGTATGCAGCCCTGGGGGCCTGGGTGTGCCCGGGGGCGGGGCGGGGGCAGGGGAGCCTGGCTGAGGCACTGCCTGGTCCCCACAGCCTGGGAAGGACAGCCACTGGCTGCCAAGCCTGGTGCTGGCCCGGCTGGTGTTTGTGCCCCTGCTGCTGCTGTGCAACGTCCATCCCCGCCAATACCTGCCTGTGGTCTTTGAGCATGACGCCTGGTTCATCATCTTCATGGCCACCTTCGCCTTCTCCAATGGCTACCTCGCCAGTCTCTGCATGTGCTTCGGGCCCAAGTGAGTGTCAGGCAGGGCCTAGCGCTCTGAAGGGGAACACGCAGCAGAGGGAGGAAGGGCCAGAGGAGCCTCCCTGATCCTGGAGCTTCAGGTTTCCAGCCTGAGCAAGAAGTCGACCAGGAGGGGCGCCCAGTCTGAAGGGGTTGAGGTGGGGAGTGCGGGGATGGGGTGCCCAGGCTTACTTTAAGTGGGGTTATGGGAGGGGACTCTCAGATAAGGAGGAAGGCGGCCCTCCAGGCCATGTTTCCCCAAGAGGAAAAAGCCTGATTAGGGTGGGGTGAGTAGGATGGGTTAGTCAGCAGAATTGGATGCTGAGGCAAGTCTCCCCACCCTGGTACTCTGGGGGGCGGTGCTGGAGTAGGGGCCATCTTAAGGTAGCCTTGCATCCCTCCTTTAGGAAAGTGAAGCCGGCTGAGGCGGAGACAGCCGGAGCCATCATGGCCTTCTTTCTGTCTCTGGGCCTGGCGCTGGGGGCTGTCTTCTCCTTCCTGTTCCGGGCCATTGTGTGACCATGGATGGACAGAGGACTGCACTGGCAACCTGCCCCTGCCCCTTCTTTATCCTTCAGGGATGGGCAGGGGTCTGCTGGAGGTTTTCTCTTCTAGCTGGATTCTGCTTTCTCGTGGCCTGTGCTGGGCCTGGCATCCAGGCCCCCGGGAGGGACCCTCTGGGTGGACAGTTGGACAGTGGCGACATTGTGGGCCTGCAGGTCCGAGTCAAGGGAGGGGACACAGTCTCTGCATATGCTTGGATCGCCCCGCGCTTGGCTCTGACTGATCCCTACTTGAGCTGGACAGCAGAGGCCCCTGGGCTCAGAGAGTGTGTGTGTCTGTATGTTCATGTGCCTGTGCCAGGGGTGGCTGGGGGCCAGGACTGTCTGTTCTAAGGTCCAGTCTGATATTTGCCCCCTCCCTGTGCTTCCTCCCCTGCTCCCCCTGCCTTGTATCTACCTATCATGTACCCCATACAGTTGCCACACTTTACTGCCTTTTTTTATACTCAACAGAAACCAGGTGCCTTCAGAGGCTCTCTGACTAAATAAACCATTGTATTTTCCCCCATGGCTCTCTGTGTCCTCCAGCCACGGCTGCATGCCCTGGGGAGGGGAGAGGGATGGCAGCCTGAGTCTGGGGGGATGAGCATCACCCTGCTGGGTCTTGGCCAACACCAAGCCTAGGTTCAAGGTTGGGTGGGGGAGGGGAGTCAGTCCCCTTAGCCTTAGAGGGGCTGCAGTGTCCTCTGCTGGGGAAACAGGAGGGAGGGGCCTAGAGCCAGGACACCCAGACTTGGCTGAGATAAAGAGAGCCCATTTTTCTTTGCTGCTTCATCCCTGCTTCCATAAGGTTGGGAATGGAGAAGACACACTCATTTTTTTTGTCTTCACTGTCACCCCCTCCACTCTGTCCTCACTCCTCAGCCCCAGAAATGAATTCTGCAAAACTCGCCAGCTCTCCCCTATGGCTTCCCCCTGCCTGGCTCCTGGTTGTACTCCCACACCTCCCTGCAAGAACAGACTGCGCCTGAGGGCTCTCCCCTACCTGGCACTCTGCCCTGACACCAAAGCTCAGACTTCCTGGGGAACAAGGGGCCTATGTGTTCTTGCACTGAAACTCGGCCCTCCCCTTCCCTTTCCAAACTCTGGCCTTGGGAGGGGTGGGATAGTGTGGGACCACGTGAGTGTCTCAGTAGAGGGGGCCATACCACTGGGTCCCCCTTCTCAAAAATGACTCCTCCTGATAGTGGGACCAGAGCTCTGGCCACGGGACCCCCTTCCCCACCTCAGTGACCCTGGACCCTCAGCATGTGTCTCAGACTTCCCAGAAGGGCAGGAGGTATTCCTGCACAGCCCAGACTGCTCACTGATCCTGAACCGGCAGATGCTACAGAGTTGGTACTAACTGAATTGAAGGCTTCAGGCCCATTAAAAGGTAGCTAAGTGTATCATTGTATGGGGTGCTGGAGTCCATGTGCTCCAGTCAAACCAGAGTACATATCTGGGGTTGGTGGAAAATAAGGTATTTCTTTCCTATCAGGTTCAAAAGTGAGGAGTTCCCCGAGTACTCCTCCAGGCTTTGCGATACCCTTTAGCAAGGAGTCGGGCAAGATAAACCTGTGCTCTCCCTCAGTCCTTCCTGACTTCCCCATTGTACCCACCCTCACAGTCCTATTGGGCCTCTTCCTCAGCACCATCAGCCCTCTAAGGACCCTGTGTTTCTTCCCAGGGTCCCTTCACCACCTCCTGCCTGGCCTTTCAGGACTCCTGCTCAGGCCTCCTTCAAACACATCCCCCACATGGCTGCAGGATAATCTGAAAACAAGTTTAGTTATACGCTGGTCCCTCTCCCTGGAGCATCTGGGCATTTCCAGATCTTCCACCACCACCAGCAACAGCCAGTTTACGTAATTCCTTCCCCCTCTGCACCTCTAAACTTTAGTAACTTTGCAGCATATCTTTTATCATGTGCTTATCTTACCTCAGACTTAGGCCTGCTCTTGTTTTTCAGGTTAGAGTCTATTTTATTCATGTGTTCACTCTTTAAGCCAGAAGTGCAGCACCTGGCTCCCAGAAGTACCCAAAAAATGTTTGCTTCATTCATCTGCTTGTTCCTCCCACACGGTCTTCACACGCCGGGCCCCAGGTGTGTGGCAGCGCTCCTTTCACTGCCCGTGCCCATGGGGTGGAGATGGGTGGTAAGCAGGCCACTCAGGCCGAGCAATGGTTTGAAGGAGAAGACCTTTAGTCCAGTTGTTTTCCTTCTTTCTGTACTTATACTGATGTTGAAGAAAATGACTGTTTTCCCAAAGATACTGTCTCAAGTTCCTCCCAGAAGGGCAGGAAATTTTGTAATGTAAATGACAAAAAGTTTGCAGTGTCACTCATTTCCATTCTCCTGACCTGTTTTCACCGGAAAAACTGGGAGTTAGGAAAGCCGCTCCCAGATCTGCCTGCTCAATCAACTACAGTGATAGCTCCGACCACAAGTGGGCACTCTGCCTGTGGGGCTATTTCCTCCTCACACTTTGTTTCCTGCCAGATGGGGAGGTCTGAGCATGAGACTCTGCCAGGTATCCCTAATTCTGCCATAACTTGGGCTGGTTATCACCCTCCCAGTGACATTTCTGCCCAAAGTATCAGTCTGTATTCAGCTGCTGTCCTTCCTCAGGTGGCTGCCATTGCAACACAGAAATTTTCCTCTAGTTTAATCTTATATGGTGACTTGTTGGGGTTTTAGACTTGGAAAGCTAAGAGGCCCAGTAAAACGAGCAGTCAGCTTCAGGTATAACTAATAAGTGTATGTATATTTTTTAAAAATTTATTTGGTGATTTTAGAGAGAAAGGGAGATGGGGAGATAAACATGGATTTGTTGTTCCACTTATCTATGCATTCATTGGTTGCGTCCCGTATGTGCCCTGACCAGAGATCAAACCCACAGCCTTGGTGTATCAGGATGACGCTGGCACCTACTGAGCTACTTGGCTTGTGTATCTATTCTTTGAGGCGAATATGGAAAGAGGATGGTGGCAGCATAGTGGTGGGGGGTATGGTGGCTTGACAGAAAAGCAATTACTGGGGACATAAATTATTAGAATGTTAAACTATGATTAGTGATTCAAAATGAATGTGAGCAGAGACATGCGGTCCCTATAAAGCCCTACTCTCTGGCAGCACACCCTGCCTGAAACACATCTTGAGACTGGAAGAGTGGCGGTCTGAGGGAGGTCAGCCAGCCAGCAGATCTGACAGGAAGGCCAAGGATGGCAGCGAGGCCCATGTGGTTCCCGGGACAAGTTGGCAGTGAGTGTGGTGATGGGCACCTCACACAGGCAGAGCCCAAGCCCTCCCACCCCCAATCCAACAATGGCCTGTGTCTTTGCTGGGCTCTTCTGTCTCCACATGACCTGGCTTACTACGTGGGTCCCCTCCGGGAGAGGATGCGCTCACCCAGAACTCTCTATGGCCTTGGCAGTCCTGGTGCGCCCTGTCAATGAGTCAGCTGGCATTCTGGTGCCAGACCGCAGGGCAAGTGCTAAATGAGTCCACAGAACCCCACAAAGTGGGAGCATCTGCCCATGACAGCTGCCTTCTCCCAGGCCTTTCTATGGAGTTTTGGGGTGGTTCTGATTCAGAGCCTAGGATTCCATCTAGGGCCTGCCAGGTACCAGCTGCGGGACCCTGGACAAATCACTCATCCTCTGTAACCCAGCTCCGTGTTTTTGTATCTTTTTTAGATTTTATTTATTTTTAGAGAAAGGTTAAGGAGAGAGGAAGAGAAACATCAATGTGTGAGAAATATTGATCAGTTGCCTCTCGCATGAGCCCCAACTGGGACGAGTCTGCAACCTAGGCATGTGTCCTGACTGGGGATGGAGCCATGCCCATCAGTGCCCACGCAGCTCCTTGTTCTTAAAACAGGGCGCCGGATCTATAGGCTTGCTCATGAAATCAAAAGGAACCTGTGCGGGAGAGCCTGGACACAGAAGACGAGGACCCTAATGACGCATGGCCCCAAGCCATTAGGGTGAGCCTCAGCACCGAGTGCTCCTCGCCCCCACCCTCACCAAAGCAGCTCTTGCCTCTCCCTACATGCCCTTGTTCTTCTACCCCATACCTACAGCCCCAGGAAGCTTCCGGAATCAAACCTCATTTCCCCAACCACAGCCATTCCCAGTGCGAATCACCCCTCGGGTCCAGCCTGGCGCTGGCCAACGGAGAACTACAGGTCAGGAGAGGGAGGGGCACGGGGGCTGGAGCCCCAGGCTGGGTCCGGCTCCGTCCTGCCCCACCCTGCGGAGAGGGAAGTCACCCTGTGCGCCCCCTGGCGGGAGCTGGGTCCTAACCAGTGCAGCCTCCACTTACGGCCCCTGTCTAGGGACACCAGACTGGGTGTATCAGGCCCACTCCACTGACCCTTAAATCTGAGTGACCTTGTGCCACGCACTTCCCATCTCGGAGACACTCATCTGTAACACAGAAGTAGTTAACATTTGCTCTTCCCAACTCTCCAGTTGAGTAACTCCTCTGAAATAATAACAACTATTATTTTCATCTATCACTCTGCTCACTGTCTTAATCATGTATTATCTCCTATAATCTCTCAATAGCCATATGAAATGCTGACTATTGCTATGCCCATTTTACTCTAGAAATTCGAGACTGAAAAGGTTAAAGATGGGAAAATATATTGTAAACTTCAAAGCACCAGGTAAATACATCTCTGTCCCTCTCTCTCTCTCCCTGATACACACAAAAGCAGTGAAGGGGATGGAAAGATACAAGGCCTCATGTGATCATGTGGCACCATAAATTAGGCTCATTGCACCTTCCCTACCTGTCTCCAAAACATTCTGGAGAGTCATCTTCTCTTTTCATATCCCCAGGGATACCAAGTGTCCTAGAATCCTGAACTTCCATGTCATCCTTCCCAGGTGAAACCAGCAAAGTCCTTTCTGCCATCTAATTTCTGTCCCTCCCAATAGCACCTCCAGTCCTTTATCTGGGTGCAGGGGGCCAGGCAGGCACTGGGCCCAGTGAATGACCTCAAAATCCAGTCATTTTAGACCTGCACATTGAGGAGTGACTTGTGCCTGGGGCTGAGCAGGTAGCAGGTAGAACAGTTAAGTAGGGCAGGGTTATTTGTGGTGCCACTGCCTTCCCCTACCTGTATAATCTGCTCTGGGCTGAACCAGTTTGGGATTAAACTTTACTATCTTTGTTAAAGGGGGTCTGGAACACTGAACACCACCCAAGACAAAAAGGGACGCTTACGGGAATGATGGTAGTAAGAGGACAGACATTTCCGGGCTAGCTGACAATGGCAGGTAGACAGGACTGAGTCACAACCCTTAGACTACTGATACTACGCCTTTGCCCTTGCAGAGTTAAGACACAGTCATATGTGTATTAATAGTGCAAGTTACTCGATTTACAACTCCAGAAGGGCTTAGATCACAATTTCTGGCCTCATCACATTCCCTTGAGTGACTTGGTTCTTGCCTATGACTTTAGCCATCAGCCTCTGCCTCCTGGACATCTCTCCTTGGTGCCCCACAACAT